CTTAAGGTTGTGGAGTAATCCATGGGTCCACGTGCTTATCTGCAGAGAGAACCTTGATTAAGATATGTTTTTCCTGTTCAGAGGAGTTGTTAAAATCCATACCTTGTTCTTCCTGAAGTGCCAATAAAGTTCAGAGAAATTCAGCAGATTGTGTCTGGCTGGTTACTTAAGGTTTGCTTTAGGTCTGTGCTGTCTCCTGGCTGAGCAGATCTGCTCRTGGTGCCCAGAGTTCAGCCTGGCAGCTCTTCACAAATGAGGAGATCTTGCACCCTGAAAGGAGACTTCTTGAACAGCAGCCCCAGCCTCTCAAGGTGCCCAACTGGAGCTTGTACTGGAATTGACCCTTCTTTGTGGAGGCACTGAGTGTAAATGTTCAAATTGCAAAGGGACTGAGTGTAAATGTTCAAATTGCAAAGGGACTGAGTGTAAATGTTCAAATTGCAAAGGGACTGGCCGGGTGGAGGGGAAGGCTGGCCTGGCTGTGGGTGAGCAAAGCTCTGCAGTGCCCAGGCCTGAATTCAGCCAGCTTGGGTGGAGGGGGTGCTGGGCCTTGGTGCTGCTGCTTGTGCCCAAACCCTCCCCAGTCTGTCCCACCATCAGCCTGTCATGAGGATTTTGGCACAATTTCTTTTACAGCTGCCTTGCCATGGCTGTCTSCAGCTGTTTCCCAGTTTCTCAGGATGGGCTCCAGCAGTGGAAGAGTGGCTGCTGCCATCTTTCTGCTAATGAACTCTGTGATCTCTATTTGCAGCTGCTTTCTTTGTGACTGTGGAGAGGGGCCTCACAGAACCTCTGCCTAATGGCTGCTGCCCTGCAGAATCAGGTGGAGATTTCACTGGAACATGGTAGTGCTCAGAGATCTGCTGCTGCTGAACTTCTCTATAAACAAAACATGAAGTGTGGAGCAGCAGAGGTTTCTGCAATCCCCACCAGGCATGGCTTGGATCCAGTTTCTGTAGGTGAGTCTTTTTGTTGTTGCTTCCAGGATTCAAGAGAGCTGAACACTGGAGAAATTGCATGCCTCCTTCAATGCTGCAGCAGCCTGAAGGTTGCACTGGTCTGGAAAGGTTGATCTCACAAATGGCATTCTTGCTGTTTCTAGTGCCCTTGCTTCTCAAAGGATACTACCTTACGGGCTTGAGGCTCAGTAATTCTGCATTTAGGTGTATCTATATTCAGTTTGTCTTTGAAGAAATGGAAGTGCAAAGCATTAAAGGCTGGGCTGCTTCTGCACAGGATCATGTTAAAAAAAATCACATCACTCTGTTCTCATAATCTGTTGTAAGGCATTCTGTAGTTTAGAATTCGAAATTTTGCATTTAACCTCCAATTTGTGTAGACAGCTTCTGGTGGATTTGCTAATCTATCTGGGATGCTTCAGACCCAATTTAAGCTGTGTCTACATGTGTTAGGGGCCCAGCTGCTTTGTCTGTGGGACAGGGGCAGACTAGAGCATAAAAGGTTCTCAGAATAGTGGGGATGAGAAACACTGTATTTTTGCAGATTCTGCATTGATGCTTTATTTATTGGTTTACTAAGAACTCTAAAGAAACTCCATAGAGCAAAATTTTCATTGAGATCCATTTGGTAGACTAATGCACTCGGCCTGAAATGCACTGATTCCAAGCAGGACAAAGTAACTGCAGAAATAAGAYTCTGATTGCTTCCTCCTTCTCTTGTTTGCTCTTTGTAGAGCAGGGAATTGCAAATTCTGATTTGTTTTGGTGCAGACAAATCCTGTGGGGATTTCTCTAGGTAGATGATCAGCTTATTAGTTGCTTGCTCAGGATAATATGTTTGGAGGGAAGCACAAGGATTTTTCCAGAACCCAAAGCAGAGGAAAGGAGGGGAGAGACATTAGAGTAGTGCTGAAACTATGAAAAGTAACACCAGATGCTTGTGGAAGGTACTGAACCTCCCAATTCTGGTCAGAATGCACTGGCTCAGAGCAGTTAATACACAGCTTTCTGGTRAATTAWATTAAAAKTTAAAAATTAYAAGCCCCCCTGATTGCTATAGTGGTTGTGCATCATCCTTTAACAAAAAGGAAGTCAAGACTGGTCTTGAATCAACAAGTTTGACTAAAGGGAATGTGAAATAAACTGCTCTTGAGCTGGGAGGTTATGGTGAAGGCTGTCTACACCCCACATGCAGCAWTATTGCCCTCCCATCCATCTCTGAAGCATCCTTGACTGGATGCTTGAAGGAGAAGCATTTACAAGTGAAGGTCTTAGCTGGGGCACTGTAATTTCTTAGTGGCCTTCACCCAGCCTGGCAGCAGCTGCGTTGTCAGAGGTGGCTGCTGTCCAGAAACCCTGTTGTGCATTYATTGTGCTTTCCTTTGCATTTCTGCCCCCCTGCTTCCAGTGGTGACAATATGCTTCTTGCTCCTTTTGTTTGCGTCATTCTCAGAAGGCTGCTGAACACCATGGGAAGGTTAGAAYGGGGCAAACAGTCTTGTTTGAGAGATGTAGAAACTGAGGCACATTTACACTCTTCTMCCCAAAGCCCCCAGCCTCTGAGGCAATGTCTGTGACTTGAGCTCAGTTGGTGTGAGCATTTTGTCCCAGGTCTGTGTTCAGTGCATCCCTTTGGAGGCAGCAGAACTCCCTGTCTAGACTTGTGGGTTTGCAAAAAGTCAAACAAGTTGTTCTGTTTGCTTTTATCAGTAAATTGCTGTGGAGCAGCAAAGTTGGTTGATGGGTTGTTAAAGTGTCAGTGGGGAAGGGGAATTTGAGTTTTATTGAGTGCTTTAGCCCTGTGYAAGCAAGCAGCCTGTATCTGCTTCCCTACAGGAGTATTTGTGAGGCAGTGAGCTTGGTAGGAGGGGAGGGGTAAGCTGTTCTTGCTTTTCCAATGAATTAAGGCTGCCTTCTGCAAATCTTCATTATTCCTGGGTCTGTGTGCCTGCTGCTCTGACTGCAGTCCCTGAGATGTTACCCATGGGAACAGCATGAGCTTGYCTCTGTCTGCACCTGAATAACATGGGCAGTGACTGAGCCAGGGCAGCTCTGCTTGCTGGCAAGAAACTCTGACTGTGGCTGGAAGAGCTGGGTTTGGTATCTCAAAAATCCAAGTGTGCTTCTGGCTGTGGAGGGGGCAAAGGTGTTGTGTAACTTCTGCATGGATTAGGGCAGTGCTGATTTCAGTATTTTATTCCCTTGTGCAGAAATCAGGGCTGAGGTGGAGTTAATGTCAGCTCATAGGTGTTTTGGATATTTGCATGAGAGTCCCTAGTCCCAAATTGTTTGCTGTGTGGCACAGAAGATTTTGGGCAGTGTATTTCAAGCTAAAAATACATTTTCTTACCAGCACTGCCAACACATGGCTGGATGTGTGGGCACAGCCACTGCACTGACAAAAAAACTGGAGAGGGGCAATGTGCCTATGTGGACTATTGGGAACTTGGATTCTGCTAAACCATACCTGAAACAGAGCTAAGGCTTCTCTTCCGCTGTGTCTGGCCTGCTCATAAACTACATGCTGACCTATGAAGCAACATTTTGAGAGGTTTTTTCAAAGCAATGGTAATTTTGCTTTGTTG